ATATATAATCAATTATTATTCACTCCTGATTTAATCTTCCAGGGCAGTAACCTGCCGTAAATTAGTTGCCGCCAATTTCACGTCCTGCATATAATGATATGATACGATATGATATGATATGATATGATACGATACGATACGATACGATACGATACGATACGATACGATACGATATGATATCAGAAGTGTATACTATAATATATAGTCATAATATAGATCTATATTATATGATACTCCTGATGATACGATATGTTATAATGTTATATGATAGTATACAATATTATACAATACGATATGATATATGATATGATATAATATATGATATGAAATGATATGATATAATACATATGATATGATGTGAAATGATATAATATACTATAATACATATAATATAATATATATACGATATAATACGCACATATGACATAATATAATCCGTGTAACACATACATATGTGTCTAGTCATGGGATAAGCAGACAGAAGAAACCTTGCACTCACAGACAGCCACTAACGTATAGGGAGCGAAGAGGCTAGGGGATAGATCGACGGAATCTGTTTAGATTAGGCCAAAACAAAATATAGGTGTGGTTACGGTTTCCCGACCGACCCTATTTATTCCAAGCGACCCTAAACATTTTATTGTCAATTTTCTTTAAAGTCAAAAAAAAATAAAATAATGAATTGGACAGTTCCTGCTTCAAAAAGCACAACGCACATCTTTCGGACATGGTTCGTAAATAAAATATTTCAAGAAAATAAAATGTTTTCCCTACCTACCCTATTTTTTTCGGCATGTAACGGTAACCACACATATATTTTGTTTTGGCCTTAGGCGATTTCTGCCAGTTAGCTCGTACGTCTGGTTCAGGCGTTGGTACGGGCTCGGGTTGGGCAAATCCGTGGCGAGATGCGAATCTGTGTGTCCCCTGGCTACCTAGTAGCATGTTCTGCACGTAGGCATTTCTCCCTTTAGGCCGCATATCTCTGTCGCGAGTAGGGAGTCATAATTTGTCGAAAAACGCAGAGGGGGAGAGATGGCGAGCTTTCGGTGCTTCGTCTTGCGTATTGCATATTTTCTGGTCGTTAGCGTTCTTTGGGAATGGAAATATTCGTAATGCCCGTACGTGTGAGGCCTTCTAACATAGCGTAATGAAGGGGGAGGAGGGTCGGAGTGGCGTTATTGGATAGACCGCCCACCGTGCGTATATTGCGTACAAACGTTATGAAGGTTGTGGCGTAGGTCGTTTGCAGTGTTTGCGGGGCCCGACTACCACGCTCGGACGCCGACCAGGGAAAGAATCACCGCGCGAATTCATTACCCAGTTCGGCGGGGAGAAGGGAGGGGAAGGTGGAGGAGGACCCCGATTTCTGGGCTCGGCGAAGGAGGACTGCAGACGACAGAAGCCATGCCTCCTCCTCCTCCCTCCCGCTTGCTCGCCCCTGAGGCTCCGGCAGGGGGCTCTCCCCGATACGAAGACCCTTCTCCAGACTGTCTCTGAGCGAAACATGACATCGCATCGACGCACAGCGCTCGCTTCTGCGTGTCCATCTAACTCTCTCTCTCTTTCTCGCTATCGCTCACTCG